CCCCCCCCCCCCCATTCCCATCCCCACTCCCCGCCTTAGTCTCTTCAAGATGTCGTCTGGAAGGAATGTACTTGCGCAGTTTGTGAGTGAGTCTGGTGAGAGCACCGGACCGCAGTTGGACTTGCCAGAGGAGCTGACGTCGGAGCAGTTGCAGCTCTTGCTGAACGAGCTGATGGAGAATGACGATGCTGACACCTTTGCCTTTTCGGTCTCGGCCAACAAGCCCGAGATTACCCCCACCACTCCGTCGAGTGCTCTGCTGGATGATGCGCCTGCTGCTGTCGATGTGACTGGGACGGTGGGCGAGGCCTTGGACGTGGGCGGCCTCTCGCGGGAGACCGGCATCACCATTGTCTACCGCCCGCTGGCGGCCTTCAAGGTCCGTGCCGTCTCGCGGTGCGCGGGAACGATGCCCGGCCACACTGAGGCGGTGCTGGACGTCTCGTTCTCACCGGATGGGCAGACGGTGGCGTCGGCGTCTGGTGACAACACGGTCCGCATCTGGAACGCGCTCACGGTGCTGCCGGTCAAGACGCTCAAGGGCCACACCGGATGGGTCCTTCGAGTTGCATGGTCGCCGGACGGCGAGACACTGGCATCGGCGTCGATGGATGGCACTGTCCGGCTGTGGTCGCCGACCGGCGACTCGCTCGGTGTGCTCAAGGGCCACAAGAAGTGGGTGACCGACCTCGCGTGGCACCCGACGACGCCTGGCCTGCTGGCCTCGTCGTCCAAGGACACTTCGATTATTCTATGGGACACTGTGCTCAAGCGCATCCAGCGGCGGATCTCGGGCTGCACCAAGACCATCGCGCAGGTGGCATGGATCGGCGACCGGCTCGTCTCGGGCGCGCACGACAAGCTTGTCCGGCTGCACTCGCCGGACGACGGCAAGCTCCGCGGGACGCTCTCCGGCCATGCGCACCGGGTGACGGTCATTACTGTCTCGCCCGACGGCGACCACTATGTGACCGGCTCGGACGACCACACATGCATCATGTGGCAGCTCTCGCAGAAGAAGCCCGTGGCACGGATGGTTGGTCATCAGGCGCCGATCTCGCACGCCTCGTTCTCGCCCGACGGGCGGTACGTGGCCTCGTGCGCGTTCGACAAGTCGGTCAAGATCTGGGACGGCAAGACCGGTGCCTTCCTCTTTGGCCTCCGTGGCCACGTCGCCGCCGTCTACCGGGTCTGCTTCTCGGCCGACTCGCGACTGCTGGCCACGGCCTCGGCCGACGCCACGGTCAAGGTCTGGTCGCTCGCCAAGCGCAAGATGATCAAGGACCTCGCCGGCCACGCCGACGCCATCTACGCCCTCGACTGGGCGTCGACCGGCGGCCTCGTCTGCTCGGGCTCCAAAGATCGGCTGCTCAAGATCTGGCGGTCGTAGCGTGTGCGGCTGTGTGGTGCAAGGTTTACGCGTCGGCAGGAAGCAGGCCCTCGGCAATGAGCTGCTTCTTGATGTAGCGGAGGACAAGGGTCTGCGCGTTGAGCGAGAACTGCTTGAGCTGCTCGGGCGTCGAGGTGACCTGGTCGCCGTCGAGGCGGTTGAGGAGCGTGGTGCACACGAGGGCCGCGGAAATGCCCCAGCGCGAGGTCTGCGCTGCGAGGCACGTCGACTCCATCTCAAAGTTGGTCACGCCGGCCTCGTGCGCCTTTTGCAGAAAGGCGAGCTTGTCGTCGCGCGAGTAGTCGGCGACCATGCCGTCGAGCCGTCCCTGGCCCTCGTAAAAGCAGTCGGTACCGCAGGTGATGCCGGCGACGGCGGCAATGTCGTCGCCTGCGCACGCCAGGATGTCGTCGGCGAGCTGGCTGTCAAAGTTGGCCGGGAACTGGTGGGTCTTGCCGAGGATGTCCAGCGAGTAGAACGGCTCGAGGAGGCCCGAGACGGCCGACTTGGCCACCACGCACGTGCCCGGCGCCACGCCCACGCCGCCCGAGGTGCCGACCCGGATAAAGGCCACGTTGCGGGCCTTGGCGTAGTGCATCAGCTTGGCCATCTCGTGGAGGCAGATAGAGAGCGACGGTTGGCCCATGCCGTGCGAGATGGAGAGGACATTGACCTCGCCGAGCTGGCAGTTGTACATCGAGTACCGCTCGGTCTTGCCAAACGGCTCGATCGGCTGCGGCGCCGCCACGCCCATGAACTGGTACACCAGCTGGGCCACGTCGAGCGCACGCACCGGCGAGCCGCCCATGACCACAAATCGCGTCTTGCCAAACTGCTCCTGCAGCGGCATTGACGAGTCGAGCCCAAGGTGGTACAGATGGTCCACAAACACCTCGCCGCGCGCCGCAGCCTCCTCCTGCTTGGCCACAAGATGCCGGTTGTTGAGCGCCACCAGGCCGTCCGACCCGACCTTGGCCTTCTTCACCGGTGATCCCGACTCGGCCGGGTTCTCCAGCTCGCGCTTGTTTGTAGTAGCCGACACTGAAGATGGCCCTCGGTAAGTCACACATACGCCTCAAAAAAGGGGACATCCCGGCTTTTGCCCGACTCTACAATTTTTCCTTCTCACCCGATTCAAACCACGTGCTACCGGCCAGCCTTCCACGTGGCGCGTACGTCTACAGCTCCACCACCTGCCAGCAACGAGAGAGAGAGAGAGACTGATGACAACAGAAGCCGAGTCACAGCCAAGGGATGCGACTGCGCGCGTTGACGCACCCGAGCATACCTGCAGAAGGAGGCAGGACAGGTGGGAGGGAATAATGGTATGTAGAGGAAATGGCACGGCAGGCTGCTTGGTCACGTACTGGTGGTTGTGGTGGTTGTGTGAGTTAAATGGTAGCCAGTGGACAGTGTGTGAGTGGAGGCTGTGAGCAGAGCGCGAGTCGCCGGCTGCCCATCGCGACCGACTCATTGAAGTATTTGCCGCTCGACTCGAGCCGGATGCAGGCATTCTGATCGGGGAAGAACAGATGATGATGATGATGATGATGATGATGATGATGATGATGATGATGATGTGTGGGTGACGTGGTGCAATGATGTCGGAGGTGAGGGTGGAGAACTGGGCGCAAGCAGCCACATCAGTATCAAATGTGTCTCGGCAGCACGGGCAGATGGCTGCATGATGGGCAGGCGGGCTACTAGATGCCAAAGCAGCCATTGCCATGGCCGGCATGGGGGCAATCCAAAGGTCCGCGTTTGCTCTTCTTCCTTTTCTTCAGCCGAACTCGGTCCCTTTTCATCTCGCCGAGCCTGTGTCGGGCACCGCGATCGGCAGCGTGGTGAGTCGAGTTGGTTGGCCCGCCATGGACGCCACCACAAGCCGAGGAGCGGCTCGAGGGCAGCAGGCAAGGGCAGCTGACACGCTTCTCTTGAGCATGGACGAGGCAGTGATCGCTGAGAGCATTGCGCACAACGACGTGAAGCAGTTGAGCGAGGTTGTACCTCCGGCGCCTGCGGACGTGTCGTGGGCTGTGGTGGAGGCTGCGGTGGCGGCCGGCGCCGACAAGTGCGTGGCGTATCTGATCCAGGGGAGAGATGGTGTAGATCTGGCGAGGAGGAATCGGGCTGGAGAGAGCTTACTACATGTGGCGGCTAAGACGAATGCCTTTCGGTGGTGCGGACGCTGCTGCGGGAAGAGACGGCCCGGGGATCTCTGGCCGGCATCATGGCGGTCGATGGATACGGCCAGACGGCCATGGAGATCTCTGCGGCGGCTGAGGAGGCGGCTCGGGCGGCCAAGGCAGCGAGAAAGCGTAACGGTGCTGCGGACGAGGACGAGCATGTGCCGCTGTGGAAGCCGATATCCGGGCCGATCACCCGCGGTCTCCTCGTTGCTGCCGAGGAGCAAGCGGCCGGCCTTGGCTATGAGCGCGAAGTCCTGGCCCGGTCGCGGGTGTGGGCGTTTGCCGTCGGCGCGATGAAGCTCCTACTGCTGGCGCTTGCGATTGGACTCTGCATGCACGGCCTCCGCGCTGCGCGCAAGTATGTTGGCGACGCTGCTGTGGCCGGATGCAAGGCCCGTGCAGCCGGCGATCCGCTCCCAACCGTCCGATGGGTGTTTATCCACACCAAGGGCGGCGGTATCACCATTGCAAACCTCATCTTTGGCTTTCTCAAGTCTGTGGCGCTGAACGAGTATCCCGACGGCTGCCGACTTGTCGATGACTACGAGTCGTAACCTCCCCTCAATCCTGGCAACCCGTACGCCCACTCCCAACACCCTCTGCCCCACCACCACGCCCCATCACCACGCCCATACTCCGATCTCCCCTCCCAGAACAGTTTCAAAGCTCCACAGCACCATCGCCACCCCCTCCCCCCCC